TTGTTTGTTGCTGCTTGGTGCTTGGTGCTTTGCTCCTGCTGCTGCTGCTGCTTGCTGCTTGCTGCTTGCTGCTTGTTGGTTGCTGGTTGGTGCTTGTTGCTTTGCTCCTGCTGCTGCTGCTGCTGCTGCTGCTGCTGGGTGGTCTGCTGAAGCTGTTGCTTGGTGCTTTGCTGCTTCCAAGCTCTATGGTACATACAATGGTTATTCTTCTATCTTTTAAAATTCCGATTCCACGGTTCTTCTCAGGCCTACCACCCCAGAAGATGCAAAGCCCCACCCCATACCATTGCTTCCTTCACCCCGTCCCCCTCCCAGCCAAGGTGCCTCTTAACTCACCATCTTCATCAGCCAATTCCCAAAAGGCACTGTGGAGAAGAATCCCTTTGGTGGCTCATGCGATTGCCTTACCTACTCGCCAGGTGATCACGATAGCTAGCCTCAGCTAGCTGGAGGTGCTCTTGCTTTGGCTCACCCCCCGGGCCTCAAGTTGATCCACCTACGCCAAGCTTCCGTCCATGTCCACCAATTTGCTTGGTATGGCCGCACCAGGTATCGGCGGCTACTCACGCTTGTTGGACAGCAAAGAGCACTGGAAGCCCCGTCAGCTCGCAGAGACCTTGCTGGGTACATGCCACTTGGCCAAGCGGCATGGGGTGACAACGCAGCGATTCGATCTCAGAATTTCCGGACGTTTTGAGCCTGTGATTGCGGAGGGGTGGAATGAAATGGGAGAATGGGGATGTCTCCAGCATTTTTCGCAGTATGAGAGCCAAGCTTAATAAGTAAGTGCTTGACCACTCAGAGGCCTCGTCCGCCTTGGCATGTGGAGCCTTGGGAGCTGGAAATCTCTCGCGGGGAGCGTGACTCGTCGTCAAGGGCTGGTCTCGACCCCTTCCACCGCGAATGCGTGGAATACGTTTTTCTTTTTTTTTTAAAACTACATTTTGGAAGCCCGCGTGTCCCTGAATATTACTATACATAGGTGCCGGCTAGCCGTTACTACCAAAGCTCCCCCCACCATAGTGCCTACTATATCTACTATTCATTTGGTTCCTAGATAAGAAGGTGGATGCCAAGGGCGAGCAAAGACTTCACTACTGGGCCAGCGGCAAGTCTGGAGGCGCAAACTTGCAAAATCTCATAAGGTGAGAGCAGGGAGAAGCACCGGCACTTTGTTTTGCATGCCGATGAATGCACAACTCCTAACTAGGTAACTGCCTGGGTTGTCATATATTGCTATGCATTGAACAATCCAAATAAGTAGGTTGGCTCAAAATCTTCAATTACACAGAATCACAACAAGGTGCCAAATCTAACTATACGGCACCCATGATCAAGCTCGGCCGAACAATAGCCCACCCAGTGCACCCAGCAAGCCAACACACCAAATTTTGACTGCATTTGTTGAGGTAACTCAAGGCAGTTTTGTTTGGAATGAACCTGCTCAGAATTGGAACGGAATAGTTCGTAGCGCATCCACCACCATTTTTAGAGTCGAGGAGCACAAGGGTGCGGAATTGGAATATTCCGATACACAGACACATACTTTGGATAAACTCAGGAATTGGTCGCGGTGGCTTTGGGGAAGTGTTTCACGGTCGCTGGGCCGGAGTCCGAATTGCGGTGAAGGAGATGAAGGACATGCCCTCAAAAACTACGGCAAAACTGAGGCAAACTCATGCACAAACTGTTGAGTTTTGTTTTTCTTGCTTTGCTGTTTCCGGTAAACTCAGAGAGTCGGAGATTCCATGGGTGAATTGCAGGACAACTCACCCAATGATGGTGATGTCATGGACTTTTTCTTGGAGATCGCCATGCTGTCCCAGCTGAATCATCCTAACATTGTACGCTTTTGGAGGGGCTCCACTGAAATGCATGCTGGTAGCAGGAGCTTGCTCATGGTCACAGAGTATATCAAGCAAGGTGGCTTGACTGGACCCAGCAATGCTCCTTTTGGGATGTGTGCAGGTTGGTGCACCAGAGGCTTGTTTCAGAGGTTCAAAGTTTATGCCAGATGTTTCCCATCGCACGCATTGAAAAAGAGGTGGCTGATTGAAAGAACACGGAAGGTTTTGGAACTATCAGACATACAGTTTTCCTCGGTGCTGAGAGAAGAAAATAAACAATCACACAAATGTGAACCGTTTTTCCGTTGTGTTTTGGTGCCTGCAGAGGTGGTCTGTCTAGACTCTTGCACGGTCATGGTGGGCCGGCGTTGCCCGATCCGCTGACCTTACCACAGTCCTTGTCCTTCGCTTTAGATGTGGCCAGAGGAGTACAATATTTGCATAGTCAGCGAATCCTTCACTTGGATCTGAAAAGTCCAAATGTTCTTTGTGCACCTGTTTGGACTGCAAAGTTGTGTGACTTTGGGCTTGCCAAGATGCGGGGAGAGGCAACCTATGTGCAATCCACCATTCAGGGGGTCAGCCCAGTTTGGGCACCTCCGGAGATGTTTGACCATTGGAATGGGGGATTGACGGAGAAAGCGGATGTGTATTCCTTCGCTGTCACTGGCCTTGCATGTTTAGAAGCAGTTGTTTCTATTTTAAGTTGCATGTTATGAGAGCAGCTGGTTTTAACATTGCCCCCCCCACTCCCAGAACTCCATCCACAACGGCATCTCTTCATGAACGGCCATGTTCCTTTCGATGTGGATGGCAACCTCGTTTGCCCAACAGGAGCAACTGCCACATGCAGGGATTACAATTTAGTGCATGGAGGTCATGGTTGAAGAAGTGGAATTGCCAACAAAACCCATCAATTCTATAGGCCTCCCACCTAAACTGCATCCAATGCCGTAGCCTAGAAGTAAAGTTACATATTTTTCAACTTGGGTCTTTAATGACCTGAAGCGGATCAATATACCAAATGCAAGCGTGTACAAATGCAAAGAAGGTGTGTCAAATGTTCACCTGTGGTGGTTTGAAAAGCTTGACTCGACGCGCAGTTTCGGCGGACCCTAACAGGATGGCACTTTGTCTTCCTTTCTTGACCCACGATCCTGTAACCACACAATGTTGTTTGAATGAGCTTTCTATATACGGTATATATATATATATTTTTCTATGTCAATTATGGAAACTCTGGAACTCGATAAGATGCGACAATTTGGCTTCTCCCGTTGTGGACCATTTGCCAAGGACCGTGACCAGAGACATTTTGTTGTGGTTGTTATGCTGCTGTGAGTTTTGCGCAGAACCCCCCTGAGATGTAATGGTTTGCCAGCTCTCTGCAGTTGTCAGGTGATTTTCTTTGAGCTTCTCACCAAACAGTTGCCCTTCTCTGAGATTTCTGCCGCCCAGCTGCCGGCAGCCAAAGCAGCTGGTCAGCTTCCGAGCATTCCACCCAAGGCCAGTGTATTTCTTTTCAGTTTCGCACTGTTTTTTTCACCTGTAGCAGCTGGCATTGAAGTGGGGAGTTGATGTCACAGATGGCCTTTTACTATTGGGTGGTTGACGATTAGAGGGGATACCCCCAAACGAACAACCAATAGGTATTTGATGGTATTTGGTACCAAATCGACCCCTACATCATTGGTTGATGTATCTTCATGCCTATTCATCATTGTTATTCTTATATAACTCAGTCGCAGCATGATCCATATTGTCACCAGCATTGGCAGAGTCGACGGTGTTGAGGTGCCACCAGACTGTGCAGAACTGATTTGTCAGTGCTGTGTGGCCGATCCCTTGGCTAGACCTTCCATGAGTGGTGCAGCAGCTCGAGTCAGGGAAATTGCGCAGAGCCACGAGATCCAACTGCTGCTAAGAAGAAATTCAGCACAGAACCTTATGTAACACCATGTAACACCTTTGGTTTCAAGCGGCATTTTGATAACAAATTGTGTGTGCGAGAGTCGAGAGTCGTTTATCAATATTATTGTACCTCTTCACAGCGAGCCAAAAAGATGGCTTCTTGTCATGGTGTGGGACTTATCAAAGTTCTGAAAATGTATAAGGTTATCCTGTAACCTCCTGGCCATTTGAAGCTTCTTCGATCCAGGTCAGATGTCAAGCCACCGGCTGCCCTCCTGCGCTTCGATGACGACCAGGAGCGTCGGGTCCAAGAAGCAGAGAACGCTGCAGCGAAGAGGCTCATCGAGGTGGACAAGCAGCGTGCAGTTCTCCGGGTCGAGCTGGCAGACTTGCATAAGAAGATCGAGGACCTGCGGAAGCGCACCTGTGTCAGCAGAATTTAGTGGTAAAGAATGGACAAGAAACACGGAGACACCATCAAACTTCATCAAACCTCTCATATATTGCCTTTTCGTTTCTGCCTCGTCTTCAGTCTTCACTTCTTCCTCCCTACTCGGAGCTCTCTTGTCTTTTGCGGCCGCGCGACCGTGTGACCAGTGAGTCACCCGGGACGGGGATAGGTGTGCTGCTAGTGAGGAAGGTGTGCTAGTGAGGAAGAGGAATCTTTAATGCATTCATGGTTCCACCTAGGACCTAGGGTGTATCTCCTGCAAAATTGGTGCATGTGACAGGCACAGCAGAACTCAGCGCCCAGGGCGTGCCAGCTGGGTATCAACCAGAATCTGCTGAATCGGACACCACATGGTGTGAGCCCTTTATTCAAGAGGTTGATGGCATGAAGTTTCGCTGCATGCTGTGCTCCAAACTTTTTCGAGGTCCTGAGTATGCCAAGATGCATTTGGAAGCAAAGCACCGTGAAGAAGCAAGGCGGATCATTGAGGACAAGTATTTTGATTGTGATGTGTCGAGGGAGGACGCGATGCCTTTGCATCGTGCCATGGGTCATGGTGGCACCGCACACCGAAAAGGGCTGGAAACAGAGGTGAACACAGAGCAACGGGAGAGCTGATGTGCCAGACCCTTGACTATTGGAACGAAATGGCCCGAAATATGAAGAAGCCAAACACCCGCTCCTTGCCACTCCGCCACATTGTGCGACTGTGTTTGCGCCGCCAGCTGGAGCACTTCTTCCATCGGTCCATCCCATGTTCCATTCGGCATGACCTGTGATTTGATACATGAAGAGGGCTCGAGGTGGTTCACGGTCATCATGAGGCCGAAGATGTCCCAAACTGCCGCAGTTGTCGCCCAGTGATGCAATGATGTGCAATGGCACCGTGCAAATGAGAGATGTGGACAGCTATCTTGTGATGTCAGACACACGGACTTTGCCTTCCTGAACGACCCTGACGCTCAAAAGGAAATGACCGAAATAGTCGAGCGGAAATGTAGCAACCACTGGTTTTGGGATGTTTTGGGCAGATTGTGTCTCACCGTGTGAGCTGTTAAAAAATGTTAAAAATATGTGAAGCAGGCGCAGCAGCAGGTCGTCATCGTGGAGGAATCTTGGTCACCCAGGAGGACGGTTGTGCTCGCAGGGGGGGGTAGGACTGACGCAAATACATTTCCTCCGCAGTTGCGCACTCGTTGCATGTTTCAGGATAGAGTTTGTGGGCATCATGCTTGTGCTCGGCTCAATTTGTTTCAACTGCCACGATCTCAGTGTTTCCTCCTGAAACGTTGTTGTCACATTGATGACAAGATTAGCAGCAGTATATAGTTCGAAAATCATCGAACATCCAACGAAACACAAACTCAGAGTTTTCAACGCATTGAGCAGAAGGTCTTGGAGCCCTCCTTGTGGAGAACTTCTTGAAAGCCAAGGGTGAACTCTATGAACAAAAGGCCATGTTCTAAGCCAGATGCCCTACAAAAGTAGTTGGTTGAGCCGCAGTTCAGAACTGATTATGGCATATAAGCGTTGCCTATCTGGTTTTCGGCATTTCTACCTGAATTTAGATTTACTGTAGAGAGTTGGAATGGTTTCTAACTTAATTTTAGATTTACTGAAACGAGTTGGAATGGTGAGACCAACAAATTAATCAGCAAATGCCACACAACCTCTTCCTCACTGAGCACCTACTCTGTTTCGTTGTCGTTTACACAATTTATATAAGTTATATGAAAAATTAATATAAGTTATGTGTTTTCGAATTTGTGGGAGCAGGCCCAACTTCTGCTTGGAGAAGTCGTGGTGAACTCCATCCTAGTCTTTGTTTGGAGCCCCAGAACGGCGAAGAACATGTTTGCAAAGCAACATGTGTTTTGCCGCACACAAAGTGCGTGCTCGAATTCGTCATTTTGGTCATTTAACAGAACATTTGTTCGAGGCCATGATTTGGGTCATGGAGTCGATACACAAAAATCATGGCCCCCAAAAGCATGCGTGCAGGTCGGGCCGCTCTTCATCACCGACCTGGAGGTTCTTTTTGCGTCGGTTTATGTTTTTTTGTAATGGTTTTTTGATTGTTGGAAAACATGTGATTGAACATGAAAAACAAGAGAAATGGCAATGTAATGCGGGGAAGCAGAGTGCTTTGACTTTGTCTAGAGCTTTTGAAGACTGCTTGAGCAGTGACAGTAAGGTTCCAAACTTATCGCGTCGTCATGCATGCACAGGCAATGCCAGGATCAGGTTTGCAGTGAATCAGCTGGAGGGAATTTGCGGCAAACCGATTTATAATGTATACTGTATATTTATATATATATATACAGTTAGCAGATCACTACTTGTGGGGACTGCAGTGGCAAATGATAGTACGACTCGTACAACGAGGTCAACAACTTGTGACGGCCACACGTGGTACCTTTGAAAGGTACGGGCAATGAACTCACCCTGGCAGAGAGGCTTTTTTTCTGGCTGGGATGGCGCGTGTCTCAGTTGGAGAGAGCATTTCGACACATCCAAAGAGTCTTCAAAGAGTTGGAACATGTTCGGACATGTTTGTGTATCGTTTCAACATGGAGAGATTCGTTTCAACATGGCGCGCTCTTTTCTTTCGCTCCTGTGTGGATGAGGTCGTGTTTTAGTTTGTGCCATTCTGTGGATCCCTGCTGGATGGACCGCTACAATGCTGGTGAAGTTTGAGACCCAGACCATGCCGGCTACGATGCGGTACCTTTCGTGTGGTTTCGTGTCTAGTCAGGGTATTCCTTTGATAATAAATATGGCCCAATGAATCAAAAAACAACATGAGAAACCGGAGAGGCACTTTTATGGAGATGGCAGAGTTTGTCTTCACCTCCTTGCGAGAGAAAACTAATTGGCGTGTATGGTTTGTTGCTTGCAAATCAGCCAGGACTTAGACCGGAACAGACGAGCGCTCTTTTTCAATTTGCTGAATAAGTCAACATGTATTATATACTGTACAATATAACAATAAATCAAAGCAACACAATATACAAACAGCTATTGAATTACACAATCAAAGAGAATGGGGAACACCGACTGCGGATCCCATGGTTTTTAGTGATATGATATGTCGCCTTCAGGAGGTAGAGTCGTCATTAGCCCGGAGGCGTTGCTCGAACTTGCTGAAGACTTTGGCACAAGCTTTTTCCTCTGCCCGGGTTCCCATTTTGAAGCCTTTGAGTGCTCCTATTGAGTGAGCGTTTGACCCCAGCACTTTGATATTTTGCACATCATTGTTTATTGAATAGCTCCACAGTCACTTTCAAATTCCAGAAGCGAATTGAGCCTCTGACAGGGCGTGCTTTGGATCACGAACGTCGTCGTTTTTGTAGCGAATGCGGTCAGTTTTGAGGTTTTGACTTATGTCTTCAGCGTGGTTCCTCTAAGCAGTGGGCCTCGCACCTGGCAATTCTGGCTTGTTTGAAACACAGTCGGTCTAGAGTTAGGGCTACTAGGGGCTGGCCGTACTACTAGGCACAAGAAGCTAGTAGGGGCTCCTGGCATCGCTATTAGGAGCAAAGACGCTACTAGGGGCTCCTGGCCTTACTACTAGGAGCAAGGACGCTACTAGGGGCTCCTGGCCTTACTATTAGGAGCAAGGACGCTACTAGGGTGTCCTCGACGCCCCAGGGCGCACTTCGTCACCATGCTGGGCCCACCATTGACACCGGAGCCTGTGTCATCCCCTGTGGTGTGGCAGCCGAGGTGGAGTGGAGTGGGCTTGCGGGATGACTTTCCAACTTTAGCGTTTCCACAGGCGTTTCTACAGTATAGTCACCCTGGAGTCGATTCGATCGATTGAACCTTTTTTTTTTCAACAACACTTCGAAACCGGCCTTCGCATGCCTTTGCAAATTTTCACAACCCCCATCGATAGAATATGACGAATATGGTTGCAGGATGTTGTAGGCCGTAAAAGTTATTTCACTTCTATCCTTTTCTTCAATTTGTTCTCTTTCAAGTTTACTGCATTGAATTCCTTCTCTTGTCTTTCCTGTATTCTATCTACTCTATAGGATTCTATGGGGCCCTTTTCCTACGAAAACATACTCTATTTGCATTTATTTGCTCCAGCACAATTTTTTAAATTGTTTGTAGCAGCTGGAGATACAAGATCAGATTCCACATTTGGAAACGAAACAGTGTTTCCGAGCGAGTACCTCGATATGGTAGATTGATCGTATTCTTAGCTTCATCAGTGATCAGCGTTAGACAATGTCAATCAATGTCAATAAAGCTCTCCTACCAGCATTGGCTTGTTTCTGTTTTGGTGCGGACGACAATTGACCGTTCAGATAGGAACACCTTTTTCGGTTTGTGAGTGAGGTGTTGCTGGCGATCAGTGTGATGATCTCGGTTGGGATGCTTGGAATTTGCCAGAGCTTAGGGTGAACACAACTCCTGAATGCTGTACAAACTGTACTGAACTGACAATCCAGAAAACTACTAAATACTGTAATGACCTGTAATGACAATTATAGAAATTTGTAGTTCTCCTTTGCCAGCTTTTCTCAGCAAAGGAGCTTCAAGGACAGCTTTTTGATCAAGAGAACCACAATCAAGTCTGCCAAGCTTTCCCACACCGGGACTCGTCGAGACCGGACTCGAGGACTCGAGACCGGACTGGTCTCGACACTCCGAGGCACTGACCTTTGGGGCAGACCGGAGAGAGCTTGGGTTTCCAAGCTCTGGGATTCTGTTCATCGGAGCATCGCGGAGCATTCACACCCAGCAGCACCATTAAAGAGGACTGCAATGCACCACATACAGTACGGTACTTATAATTATAAGATCTTATAAGTATATATTATACTGAATGTATAATTTGACATAGATGTTTAGCTAAGTGTGAGTAGGAAGATTAAAGAAGTTTCTTATGTTCTGGAGATCCACATCATGGCTTGGCTTGGTTCCTTTAAAATCGCCTCGTGAACGGATGGTACTATACTGTTAACAAAGACAGCGCATGTGTTCAATCTTCGGTCGCAGTGGGAAGGTGTGTAAACAGGATTGCCGCATCACAGCATACTGCTAACATATGCACCCTTGACCCGTTGGCTTTGCAAACGGAGGGCGAGGGAAGGTGCACTTCTCAGCAATCCCCTTAAGCAACTCCGCTTCACGTGTTTGGGAAGAGCGCAGCAGCGCGGTTGTTCTATGTTGATCTTTTGTCACAGCAGCGAATCTGCGTGACATCACCTTGGACACCAACGCCCCGAATGGCTGAGCATGAGCTATTCATCTATACATAGTTTTTTCCCTCCGTGCCCAAAGGGAGGCGCAAGCGGCACCTACAAACGGGTTAGAGTATAAGCAACCGATCACCAATAAAGTAAGACCACCGAAGGGATATTGTCTAAATCACTTGGATTTCTGCGTATATAGTCGCTGGGAAAAACCCTTTGCATTGAACAATGGATTACCAGACAAATATCCAAAGCACTGAAATCAAATATGGGCCAAAAGGGCAGTGGGCTAAGCAAACTACGGGTGGGCTAACCAAACTATTTTGCTTGCCACTCATTTGATGGTTTCGTTTGGTGCAAGTGCAAGATGATAACTCCAAGTATAATCACATGGTAGCAATTTTATATATATATATATTTCAAGGCTTACGCCTAACAGCCGGGCGCCGGCCCACTTGGGTCTGTGGGGCATATGTCACGCCTATGTTGCCCTTGGTGGGGCCTATATTGAGCAAAGTTAAGCTATGTGGTGCGCATCTTGGCCCTAGGTTGGGCCAAGTTGGGCCCATGTGGTCTATGTTGGGCACATCTTGGACCCATGTCGAGTCTATGTTGGGCCTATGTTGGCCTATGTTAGGCCTATGTTGGCCTGTGTTGGCCTAGGTTGGGCCTATGTTGGCCCCACGTTGGCCTATGTTGGCCATTGTGTTGAGCCATCTTGGACGCTATGTTGGGCATATGTTGGGGATATGTTGGCTATCTTGGGCCTATGTCGAGGATATGTTAGGAAATTTTATTTTTATACCTCACACACACGAAACACTGTAAATTACGTTGATATCAGTGAGCCGGAAGTGACCAGGGGGTCCCCCCGTTTTGGTGACGAGGGTCGGCGGCAGGGGGCGCGCCCGTATCCGGCCAGGGCCCCGGGAGGCCCCAAGGCCGTGTCCTTGCCGTAGGCCATCTCTCCTCTCCGTAGGAGAGGGGAGTGCCGCCCCCGCTGCCGACTTACCGAAGCTACCGCGTTTTACAGTATTTTTGGCTTGTCCCATTTTTCGGCTCTTGCGGCGCAAGATGGGTCAACATGGCCCAACATAGGCCCAAATAATGCTGGAAATGCGCGCCGCACCGGGGTGCTTCGTCTGCATCGTGGGCGGATGCTGGGCTAACATGGGCCACATAGCCCCAACATGGGCCAACATAGCCCCCAAGATGGGCCAACAGGCCCCAAGATGGGCCAAGATAGCGCCAAGATGGGCCTACATAGCCCCCAAGATGGGCCAACATAGCCCCAACATAGCGACAAGATGGGCTAGCATAGCACCCAAGATGCCCAGATAGCCCCCAAGATACGCCAACATCGACCCAAGCTGGGCCAAGAAAGCAACAACAACAACAACAACAACAACAACAAC